ACCACCTGCTAACCGATGCCCAGCCAGTTCCCGAGCCAGGGTCAGCGCCCCTTGGCCGAGTCCCCCCAGTTTATACGCTGAGCATGGCGTTATATGTAGTGCAATATCCCTTTGGCCAGTCTGGGTCAGTGTCCTGGCTGTGCTCCCTCCCAGCTTCTTGTGCACCTCCCTGCTGGCAGAGCATGGGAAGATGAAAAGTCCTTGACTTGGTATTAGCACTACTTAGCAACAACTAAAACATCAGTGTGTTATAAACATTATTCTCATACTAAATCCAAAATACAGCACTGTACCAGCTACTAGGAAGAAAATTAACTCTATCCTGGCCGAAACCAGGACAACAAGGTAGAAGGAAAATAATAGGGCTGAAATGTTTTGATATTGTTGCTCTTGTACTTAGCCCCAGACCTACTTTGAAATAACAGCAAGGATGCAAAATAACTTTTCATGCTTAAAAGAGAAAACAAAAGCAAGAATTACAGGAAGTGTTGAGAAAGCAGGGATCTACCAGAAAAATTAGTTATATGAGTCATTTAAAAACTCATCCTTTACTGTGCCTATAAATACATCTACATTCTGCACTGATCTTGTAATAAATGTAAACACAGTTTTATACATTGCAAAATTCTGACCCAGCTGTTCCACTGTGACCAGGCTTCAGCAAAATGTCTTTCATGGTTCAACTGGATGGCTTTGGTGTTTAGTGTAAGAAAATTTCAAATAACATCTAAAATAAAGTTTTTGCAGGATCTGTGCTTATGCTTAGTATGAAATATGTATGTCTGTTGCTGTGCCATTTGAGTATGTGCATGATCTATTAGTTCTTAGGTAAATGTGTGAAGTTTTGCGAACTAGAATCTTTGATATAGAAAGGAAGAGCTAGAACCAACGGAACTGGATTTCATTTTTCTTAAAATTGTGTGGATCCCTTCTGTTGTCAGATACATATATTTTTGGCACTACATTTTTTTCATTTTGTTACTATGCCTTATCTATTTAGCGTTTGTTTTTGCTATGATTTATGACAAGGTTCTCTTCTGAATGGTGCAGTTGCTTCATAGTATTTACCTTACCAGAGAAGCTGGAGGACGCAGGGTTAAGACTCTGTTGGACTAGGTGCTGCTTAACAATTTTGAATACACAGGTGTCTGTCCCAGAGACCTCCTCACACTTACTTTTTTGCTTTAAAGAGGCTGAAACCCTTTCAGGAAAAGGGGAAATAGCATCACCGTGCAACTCTTCTCTGTTATAGCAGCAGGGCTAGTCATTTAATACCTTGATTTATAACAGTGTTGTAATCTAAATAGGAAGCAGGTGGAGTTACAACTGGGTATGTTACTCTGGATATTAATGGCTTGGCTTGGCAGTGGAATTCTAAAGCTGTATATACTTTTTCTGTCTTAATTATGCATTCATTAAAAGCTTTTATACCCAACAGAATAAAGTAAATATTGTTTGATCTCTGTAGTGTGCTCCCAGACTGTAGATTTGCACAGCAGGGTCTTGATAATCTGAATAAATTGTATTTCCCCAAGGAGTTTATCTTTCAAATAAGGTCATAAAGAAATGCATTCTTTCCCCTTAGTTCTCCTTGTGCTTTTTCTGCTATTTATAACACAGAGCAGAAGAATAGAGCTATATTGTAGTCTGCTGTGTACTTGGTTATGATTAAGTCTAATTTATCAATCTGTTACATCCTTTTCTGTGGCTTGTGCAAGGCAATTATTCTTTAAAGTACAAACGAATAAAGATGGATTTGGAAGTAATTTAAATACAATGTTTATATCTATTTTTCCTGTTTGACAACTTATCATATCTCTATATTAAAATCCACCTCTGTATTAAAATATGGACAATGTCACATCATTTATTTTGAATATTGAATATTGTCATCTTTCAGATTGTTTGTTCAGAAAACCGATTTTCTTTTATGAGGGTTTTAAATGTCAGTTCATTGTTAAATTGGTTTGACATCTAAAGGTTGATACTACTGAATCAAAAGACCAGTAGTGTAGAACAATAGATTCTCTTACTTCAGAGAGGGGCAGCAGGGGGATGTATAGTAAGTAGCATGCATGGGATCAAAGATAGTTTCTTATTTTAGAAGTAGACATTGATAAATAATTTGGCCAATTTATTACATTAGTTTGAGTTTACTGTGAGATTTTAGAACTAATTCAACTGTTAGTTGTAAGATCTGTATATATAATCTTATATGTGTGTTCTTAGTCTGAATGTGTTTCAGCAGCATAACATACATCATGTTAGAAGAGATAGGATTGCTACCTTTTCCCTAATTCTCTTCAGCTCTTAGTGACAGTTCTGCTTGTGTTCCTATTTCATCCTTCAGTTCAAAAAAGATAAGCGGCTTATATTTGAAAGTTTATAAAAATGAGATTAAAAGTTTCAATAATTTACAGACGCCTGTGGTTTTTATTGCACATTTTTAAAGAATGTATGCTGCGATGCTGTACCAGAAGAAAGTTGTGCGTGACTTTTACATTTTGTAGTTGCTCTTTTAACACAATAGAACAAAATCTGTGGGAAACAGACTGCCAGAACTCTTATTCGTGACCACACCTAAATTTCATATTTAGTAACCTATTTAATTTTTAATAAAGTTTTAATTCAATGAAGGGTTTAATTTGAAAATCTATTCAAATCAGACTGAGTTGACAGTGATTGCTTTGATACTTCCTGTTGGATTTTTTTTTAAAACTAGGAGGTAAGGTTGTTTTTTTTGCAACTGACTTACCTCCTGCATATTAGTCTGATGTTTCTGAAGTCTTACCACATATGAAGAGCTAGGTTATCTGATCTGTGGTATACATCATGCAATCTCAGTGTGACATTTTTCCTCTCTAGTATCATCACAGAGACAGTAATGTATAGTACTATATAATTTTGACTTGAATATTGGTATGACAGTCTGATAAATTTCATTTGTAAAAGCTAATGCAATACTTACTGCTTTGGCTGTGAAATAGAAACCTGTAGATCAACTCCAACCTTACAAAAACAGAAACAAATGTTCCTGATTACAGGCCAAGACCAGTTTTTAAAAAAATATACTTGCAGTATTCATCAAGCAGTAAACCGTAAGTCCGGCAGGTTTAGAACCAGCAGGTTCACCTTAGTTTAGGTGAAGCATCAAAAATCATCTGAAGTTTGCCAATGAAAATAACTAAACAAATAAGCCCCCATAGTAAATAAATAAATAGACACATAAATAAATCAGCATCTGAAAGAAGTGAACACATATAGATAAAAATAAATAATAATGTAAATAAACAACTGGTGAGAGTTTATTTATCCATCCATAAGTATATTTGGCCTCTTCAACTGTATGACAGCTTTCATTAAAAAAACTTCAACTGGTATTGAACAGGAGAGTTTGGGGGATCATAAAAAATACCCAAACCAAAAATGAAGGCTTACCAATGTCTTTCAGATTTCACTGAAAATGCGAAGATTTTTCAGGGGAAGACTGCATTTGTGTGTCATATTACTGTTTCTCTCTAATGAGGAAAGATTTTACTATATTATCTTCAGTATTGTCTTCTTCTGAAGTCCACCGACAGCCATCTGTCCTTCTCCATTGACACTTAGCGGGGTTTTGAACAAGTGCACCATTCAGACTGGGAGATCATGTAACAAGCAGGAGCCTCCACAGGAATTTGATTCCGTTTCCTCCAGTACTGACTCCCCTAAGCAGGTGAAAAAAAATTCTTTCTCCACTCTCCATTGCATATGCATAAACAGCTCCACAGTCATTGGGACAGCCACCCAATTCACACGTTCAAGATGTAGTCCATAAAACATTCCAAAAAACCTCCTCTTCGCACTTTCCCATCTTCCCTGTTGCTCTGCTCTATCTGCCAGCCGTGCAGCTCATTTGACATTTACAAGATTTCTTGTCAGTTTCATTTGGTGCTGCCATTCCATCCAGCAGAGCAGTGAAAGTGAAATTGACTTAATTTAGTCTGTTTCTCTTTCCTGCTCTAGTCCCTATGTTAACTAACCAGCAAAGTGAAACTGACAAGACTTCTTGTCATTTTCACACATGGAGCTGGTCAAGGAGAAGGCGGCTGATAGGGAGCAATGCGGTAAATTGGAAGATGAAAACCAGAATTGCGAAGGGGAGAGGAAGAGAGGTGTGAGCGTACAGCAAGAACAGAGAAAACGGGTAAACATGCTTATTTCCCAGACGTCCTGGGTGCTTTTCTCTAATACGGATGAATTCTTGGCCTCTCCCCTAAAGAGCATATGGCCTAGAATAGCAGTAGTTAGCTGTCCAGACGCTAAGTTACGAGGGATGCCAAGTTGAAAATGTTAGCCTGTAAATATACGTTATCTCTACCAGGATGGAAAAAACTTCCTGCCCAGAGTTACTGTAGCTTTTGTCTCTGCAGATTTTCTGCTCCTAGAAGGAGGGGGAGAAAGAATACGAGGCCAACATCCACTACAGTGGTTGGGGAACAAAGGGTCTATTTGTTCATTGAAGATAAGTTTATATAAATGCAGCTCAGCATCTCTTATTGTGTGAGGTTTCATGGAACTAAAAGTCATACTACACAGGTGCTCTAGCTCAATTAAAACAGTAAATAATGAATAAACAATTGCTTTGCAACAAATCATTATAGTTAACGTACATTTTTTTAATCCACTTGTTAACTCCTGTGAGCTCTTGTCATACAGTGTGAATCATACCAGTTTATTATTCTATGCACTAATCCGTACTTCTTAGAGATGCATGTGTAACCTTAGCAGTTGCAATATAAATTAGTACTATCATATATATTTGCATATGCACTAGTAACATTTACACATATATTTTGAATGAGGCTATGTTAATTAATTTTAAGTTATATTGCCTTCCTTCTTCACAGCTACAAAAGGACAATCTTTTTTCATTATCTGAAAACCTGTGGGGATTTTTGTTCTCTGTTGTTTTGTTGGTTTTTTTTCTGAGACATATTTTGTTTGCTTCACCCATTTAGGAATTAAATAGTTTTAATTACTTGGACCTGTATAAGCTTGCGGACCTCTTCAACCTCACTTTGTTGGAGAATGCAGTGGTTGACTTCTTAGTAAAACATCTCTCTGAGCTATTGAAGAGTCATCCTGAAGAAGTCCTGGCACTTCCATACTGTCTTCTTCGAGAGGTTTTTAAAAGTGATAGACTCACTTCACTCAGTGAAGAACAAATCTGGCAGGTAAGGAGATTGGTGAACAAGCAGAATGTGTGATACTCTATAAACCATAGCAGTAATCTGTTGTTTTAAAACCCTGGAGCAATCTTGAGGGAGAATAAGCACTTGAGCAAAAACTGTGAATAACAACTGAGGGAAATTTTTAAATGAAATTCAAAAAATGTTGTGTTGTGTTAATGCAATTAGTTTGTTTGAAAAAGAAATTTGTCTTATTGCTTGTGTTACTGAGATATGGCCGGAGATTTTTTTCTTCTGGATCCACCTTTGTCAGTGGGAAGAGATGTCTGATGCATGCAACCCAATTATCACTGCCTCTGGTGTGAGGCTAGTGCCGCAAGTCTGGCAGCAAACCTGCTTCTGCAGTCTCTCCCGTTCACTTCAGACAAACCTCACTGTGTAACTTCAGTCATTTAAGTTGTTTAGGCTACTACAGCTGACTGCCTGAAGCAAATTAGAGAATCATCACACAGACTGCTCTGCTCAGAGATGAGTGGAAGCTTCGGTGGAAGGTTTGTGGCAAGAAGCGGGAGGTGGCAATAATTTTCTTTAAAAAATCTGGCTCTAGAAAAGGACCAGGTTACTAGCTATAGAATATTAACAAAATAAAATCATTATGTTGTGACCTTTAGTGTGGAGGGGGTGAGGTGGGAAACCTAATATGAAAAAACAAATAGCCTATAAAGAGAAACACAAAAACTAAAACAAAATCTATCCTTGGAAACATTCCCATCATATGTCTGTAAAAATTGCAATTCATGACATAGTGGAAGGAAATCTCTATAACACTGGTTGCCCGAACACTTCTTTCTGTTTCCCTTTTGCTGTCATGTCTTATAGAAGGAAAGTATTTCAGGGTATTGCAAGGTAGAATGTAACTTCCTAAAAAGAAAGCAAAGGTTTCTTTCAAGGAAGTAGGTGTTATCTTGGTCCAACAGAGAAGACAGAGAATCAGAAGATTGCTTTGTATTTCAGTCCCTGTTATTTATCTACTTACCTTTTGGATTATTCTAAGGAAATAATTTCATCCATATGCCATTGTTTTGTCAAAGTGTAAAATGTGTGTTCATCTGTGGGGCACTTCATGTTCTGTAGATGAATAACATCATGCAGGAACAAAATACTTATTCTTAAAAAATAAAAATGTCTAGTTAAGCTCTTGAAACCACAAAGACAGTATGTAGATGTAACTTAACCCTTCGGTCTGATAACTGCCATATTTGTTTCCAAAGCTTTGAGGCTTTAGATTATGGAGTATTTTACAAACATGATATTTTCTGCAAATACTGATATAAAGTTAGACTCTCTCCTGTCCTAGACTCTGGAAGATGTCTGTACAACAGAACTTGCAGCACACTGCCCGTTATGGTGGGTTGGGTTTGGTTTGGTTTGGGTTCTTCAGGCATGGTACTCTGGAATCCTAGCCCATCTTCCCTTTATCAGAAAAGGTTTTGATGTACAAGTGCATATATGGGGCATGGCTGATTTGCCATATTGGGTTTTATCTTCATTTCTCTTGCAGGCTCAGTGAAATCTCCTAGCTACGTGCTTGGGGATACTTTTGCTAGGAAAGTATCCCACAGAACGCCATACAAGTACAACTTAACGTCAGCTCAGTGATAAGCAAGCATATACAGGGTAATATGCCCTCTGCAACCTGCTGAAGCACAGCTTGTGAAGTGGGAGTTTTTAAATCTTGTGTCGCCGTCCTGTCTTGCAGGAAGAACTTGGAAATAATTTTCATAATTGTGCACATTCATGAGGCAAATATGACAAAGCTTCCGTCTCTGTTGCAGGGTCATACAGGGGAGAGATACTTATAGGTAATATGCTGCTTTTTGAGTGACAACAAACTCCACACTGTCCATTTAAGTGTTATCATAATTGCCTCTCTAAAGGTTGCTAATGCTGTTCCGAAGAATTTTTTTAAACTAGTTTTCCGCCGCAGGCAAAATGTGCGTGTGTCTTTTTAATTCAGTCTATACAACTAGCAGTAAATATATATTTATAAATATTCCAGGTCCTCAGAATGAATTAAAAGACACATATAAATATTTACTAATTTAGGCATTCAGAAGGCAATAAGGAACTGTTTTTTTGCTTTATCTTAGTAAATAAGTAATTCCCTCATAGTCAACCCAATAGAAGAAAATCAAATCAGACCAGCTATATTGCCTCAAGTGTAGTTAAGTTCATCATTTTTGCTAAGGTTATAGTGGTAATGCAATATACCATGGAAGAATCTAATATTCAGCCCAGGGTGAAGATTGGGTATGCCAGAGGATTAGTGTCAGGGTGCTTTATAGAAGTGAAACTTGATGGACAGGCTGGAGACAGATCTACAGAATCTCATTAAATTGCTGAATTGTTCATTACTGAGCACTCTCACTGTAATAAAGTGCTCATTGACTTTGACAAATCCCCATCCCATGTCTTAAGGAAGAACAGCAAAGCAAGAGGTGTTGGGGAAGCTGGAGGAAATTGGCACAAAGTGGGGCAGATAATAGAAAAGCTGATGGGGGATGCTACCATTTGATTTGTCTGTCTTACCTGTGACTAGTGTGGCCTCCTGCGCACACACATGCATGCATGTTACAGCGATATGAATTCAGCGTGTCTGCAAGGCACCTTTACTAGTAGGGCTCCCATGGAGCCCTAAGGACAAATTAAACCTTCCCTCAGAGCCCTAGGGACAAATTAAACCTTCCCTCAGAAGATCTCTGGGAAGGGTGCCACTGTTTCAGAGCACAAATATTTTCACTAGTTTAAATTTCTTATGTCCACTGGGGGATTCGATCCTCATGCACATAAAGACTAAGGCAGTTATTTTAATGCATCGAAACGTGTACACAGATTGATGCTTGAATGTCATTTAAACTGAAGTGACTACAGCTTGTATCTGGCACATTTTGGATTTTTGTTAGACTACCAATTCACAGTTGCCCAGTTCTAGTGAATATGGTGAAATTTAATCTTGAACAAACCAAATTTGAGAAAGTTAGACAAGAATATTAATGTCAGTATACTAGGATGTGGATTAATGTAGAGTACTACAGTATGTCCTGTTGACTCTTACAGGAAGAAAAATGTGACTTCCAAACCAGAGTAAAGTGGACAAACTAAGTGGTTCATTCCTCTTTATACCTCTTAAAATCTTATGGAACTCTTTGGCCTAATGTAGGTGTCTTATTTTTAGTGGAGACAATAGACAAGGAATATAATGATGTATTTCTTAAACAAAGAAACAACAAAAAGACCTCCAGAAAACCTCCATAGGCTGTGAAACTGGAGCAATTTACTAGCCTCCATCATTAGGGTTTTTTTTTTTTTGCAAGGCTAAGCCAGTAACAACAATTATTAGGTTGCATAGGATTTGTTTTCATATTGATTTTTTACATTTTACTAGCTTGTGATATTATGAAATATTATTTTGTATATATGGAATGTATGATTTGTCAGTTGCATTAAAATGTGAGTAAACTTAAAGCAGTGACATGGAAGAAAGGATTAAATAAAAAAATGAAGAAAACCAAGGAAGAATCCTGAAGTTGGAGGAGGAAAAAAGCAAATTCTTTGGTATTTTTCCTCTTCATCATGAGCTGTGCAGCATGCTTTTTTTCACAGGAAAAAGTCATGATGAGGACATAAATGTCGAGTTTATCATGAGGTGAAAAGTGAATCTTTTCTTAATTGGCCATTACTAGAAAGGCTCATTGGCTCTACTTTAAGGAAGCAGATGAATTCCTTCCCTTGATAATAAAAAAGGTAACCAACCCTATACAACAGAACATGTTCTCAGAGATATCTGGCAGTAGAAGGCTTCTTGTCGGAACCCTAGCAAGTAGAAAGCAAGCCAAAGAGTTAAGTAATAAACTGATGTTAGCCTTAGCTATAGTATGGTTACGCCTTATCAAATTCATTATTAAAAACTTCAGTGTCATGAGGCTTAAATGTTCATATTTCAAGGATCATATGGATAGTATGATCCTAACATGAGATCAGTATAAATTAGTTTCTTCCTTCTCTGCTACTGGTTAAGTAGCTTGTTAAAGGGTATATTTTTTTTAAACAGCTAACATCAAAAATAGATCAATTTTAATATTTGCCAATGTTTCTTCTGAAATTAAGGTTAATATTTTTTTCTTGTTTTTTTTACTTTGCCGTGCAACTCAGTTTCTTGGTAATCAACTGATAAGCTAGCAAGCAAGGAAAATTGGTAGATAAATCAGCATGAGTAGTTTACTCAGCTAGAAAGCATGCAACTATGTCATGTCTTTTCCAGGGCTAGGCTCTCAGGGCATTCCAGCCCTGTTCACTTCTTTGTGTGCAACTTGTGAACTTGTGTTCATAAAGCAGATATTCCACATGTGAAAGTATAGCAAAAGTTATTCCTTCTGTTACTGTGGACGGGATGTGCAAAATCAGTTTTTGGTCCCTGTATTAGAGAATTGTCTTTGCTTAGATAAATAGAAGAATAAAAGACAGGAAGACTACAGTGCTATGGGTCAATATGAGTTGTTAAGCATCTATTTTGTAAAAATAATAAATGTATAAATCAAATTTTCTTATTACAGTCCTGTAAGGGAGAGTAAAGTGCCCTATTTTCAACTGCCTTTTCTTACACCTGAACTCCATTTTGAATCTCCTGGTGGTATTTATGGAGGGCCGAAAGTATTCTCCAGCAGAAATCCCACAGAGTTTGGGGCTGTTGGAAATTTTGCAGTGTACGCATTACAGCAGGCTGTTAGATCGGAACAGTTCTATGCTGAAGACAGGCCCACAGACCTTTTCCGTACACCTCCACTGATGCCCACATTTTCCTATACAGAACAGCAGTTTCTAAAGTAGGTTGTCATGTTCCAGTACAAGCTTGCTATTCCTTCAGTGCAGTACTTGATTTTTTTTTTCTGTCAGTCTTTTGATTCTACAGAGCAATTTTTAATACAGAGAGAGCAAAATTCATGTTTCTCAGGGGTATATCTATGTTTTGTTGAAATGTGGACTAA